AGGTCTGGACTGCAGTTCAGCACCCGACTCTTCTTCTGTGAAGCCATGCTGTTGTGATGGATGCAGTATATGGTTTATCATTGTCTTGCTGAAATATGCAAGGTCTTCCCTGAAACAGACGCTGTCTGGATGGGAGCATATGTTGTTCTAAAACCTCTATATAGCATTCATAGTGCAATTTCAAATTTTGATTCATCCGACCACAGAGCAGTTTTCCATTTAGCCTCAGTCCACTTTAAATAAGCTTTGACCCAGAGAAGATGGCAGTGTTTTTGGATCGTGTTGACATATGGCCTCTTCTTTGCATGATGCAGCTTCAACTTATTCACAGATGTATTCACAGACAGTGATTTCTGAAAGTGTTCCTGAGCCCATGCAGTGATTTCCAGGACAGAATCATGCCTGTTTTCAATGCAGTGTTGCCTGAGGGCCTGAAGATCACGAGCATCCAGTGTTGACATGTTTCTAAAATTGTTCCACAATTTGTAGTTGTAGTTTTTCGCAGATTGGTGAACCTCTGCCCATCTTTGCTTTTGAGAGACTCTGCCTCTCTAAAACACTCTTTTTATACTCGGTCATGAGAGTTAGTTGCAAATTACTTCTCCAGCTGTTTTTTTCGGTACCACTTATTTTCCAGACTTTTTTTGAATGGTAGCACCGCTGTGAAAGGAGCAAAGTGAGAGGACATGGCAGAAGGCAGTAATCAATGCATCACAGCAAATATATTTTATTACAGCCCCACTACACTGCCTGTCAAATATCAGAGGACACCTCACCTTCCTTTGAAATTAAGTAATAATAATGATTTTTATCGTTACTTTTTGAATAGCTGTTTCCTAATAGCTTGGGAATATTTTTCTCACTTCAACAGAATGTTTTATTTGGCAAATCATTTGGCCCAAACACATCATAGGTTTGAGTGCTAATGAATGCTGGCATCACGACAAGGGGATAAAATGTGTCAGGTTTGGTATATTCAGAGAACTTTTGCCAGTTATTCATTCAGGTTTTTATTTTCTTAAAGGAATATGGCTAAATTCTTATATTTAATATGATTAGAAGCTATTGCAAACTGATATATAACATGCTCATTTATTTGTAAATAAAAAAAAACAAGCTAGGTGTTCTCAAACTTTTGAAGCCGTGTAGTTACATTGGTTTTTATGTTTTTACAGCTAAACCAAGGGTTGGCTCTTGCGAACGTGCCTGACTCCTCTCAATCTCCTCTGTAACTGTTTCAGACCTGCTGTTCCCAAAAGCATCATATCACTGAGATCATTGCGAGATGGGAAGCGGAGTATGACTTTGAACGCTCTCTAAAATGGTTATGATTGTAACACTATTATGCTTTAGGGACCCCAGGCCCGGATCGGGATGTTTTGTCTGGCACTTGGGTCATCATTTCTGGCCCTAAATGATGGTGTGAGGAGAATTTAGTAGGCTGTCTGAAAATGAACTCTTTGTATGCATTTTTTTCTGGCTTTTTTCCTTCCGTTCTACTGGTGTCAGCTCGGCAGTGACAGCCTCTGGATAATGTCTCAAACTAATACCATTTAACAGGCTCATTTTTAAGCTGCAGACCGTGGGACGCATAGCTGGATCTGTGGGCTGATTGGATGGCATCTGTTGGAGCCGCACTGGCAGCGCTGCCGTGGCAGGGCGAGGAGAGTGATTGCATGCAACATTCATGAGTCAAGGGAGTCGGAATGTCTTCCTCTGTCTCCACTCGTTCTCTCCTCGACACTTTTATGTCTCTGTCTCAGTGACACCCTACCCTGTCTTTCTCGCTTTCTTTTCCTCTCTGCATTCCTCCACATATTCCCTGCTCTTGCTCTTCCTCTCTCTGTCTCTTTTTCTCTTTCTCCCTCACCAAGGACAGTAATAGTAGACCTTAAGTGAAGTCCAGCGTGACCCAATAGCTGAATCCATCTTTTTCGCTTTTGTCCTCCGTAACAAAATGAATGGCGTGCGTGAATTATTGGTATAATCCAAATAGCAGTTGAGTCACGCCGAAGCACCTCATTAGACATACTTGTCACTAACTGTGTAGAAAGCGAAGGAATCCGAGTGACTGAGAAGGATCAGAATTCCTATTTTGTTGATATCCACCACTAATCCAATGAAAGTCTTTATTCTAAGCTGCCGTTTAAAGCGCATGACTTGTGAGAAAGGTCATGATGTATTCGGAGGAAGCAGCTAATCTTCCCGTGTTTCCAATAATCCCCCATTGTTAGAGCATGTAAGTGTTGCTGTCTGAGCTTTTGCCAATGTCTTGTTCAGAAAAGCATTTTGTGGACTGTTGGAATTGGGGTTGCACAATAAATCATATTTTTATTGTTATCGCAATATAGCCTTGCACCAAACACATTGTTATGGATCTGCAATGATAGAGAGGATCCAATTATCTCACACGTGCAGTGCCACAGCTACGTTTTCAGCCCAAAGATTGCCCCCCTGTGCTCTTACACTGGGAGAGAGAATAGCTCAGCTAAACAGCAAGTTACAGAATTCACATGTGCAGTTCAAAAACGAATTCATCTTGAACTACTAGGCTGTAAAAACGCATAAAACATGGTGACTATGTTCACACAAAATGCATAGACTGTGAATATATATATAAAATGTATGAAGCAGTAATGGCTACTGTCACAACAAATCTGCATCATCATAAGGAGCATTTAACTGAGTTAAATATATATTTATTCACCTTTGTAGGCCTATACTGAAAATAATAATACATATTGTTACGCATGTTACGAGCTCAGGAAACACTAAGGCCGAAAGAAATGGCAAATTGTCTAGGGTCTAATTAATATGTTCTCGTCCTGACTGTAACCAAGGCCCACTGTCCCTATGTTGCGATTTAGCGTGAAACATGAGCCTAAGTAAAAGTGTATGCCTAAGTCTAGTTGGGAATCCCCCACTGAAGGCCAACTCACCTGCTGCCGAGTCTCTGAGTCGGCCAACTCAAGCCGTGTCCATGATAGCGTTCAGGTTTTATCAGTCAGTGGAATGGGGGCTCAGACAAAAATCTGAAATATATACAATAGGAGTCCAAAAAGGGGAACGAGAGCATAAGAGAGAGAGAGAGGGAGAGAGAGAGAGAGAGAGGGAGAGAGAAAGATGTCCGCGGGTCCACCGCTTGCCGTTCCAGTCAAAACCCCGTTTTCCTGCCGTTAGTCTCCATCACCCGGCTGAGCACCATCACAATTGATAAAGGCATATGTGAGGTGGTTGGCGCCCCCGTGTGGTTCCAACATGAAAGTCAGTATCTGCCCCTAGCTCCTAACTTTCCTAACAATATATTTACTTATTTGCTACAAACATGAACATGAAAAGCTGCTCAGGGAATCCTGTCTGTTTTTAGACTGAAGTGAATCTTGTTTCGCAAGCTACAAATTCTCCACAAGGGGGCACCATTAGCAGTTTTTGACACCTTATAAGAGCATTGTTTTTTAATGTGGTGTGACCTTCACTTTGATGCGTTTCCTTTGCCTAAACACGAAAAAATGGATTCCTGGAGTACCAGAAATGTTGAATTCTTCAGTTTTCATTTAATCACTACAACAAAATGATGCACACACTGTGTTCAACTGATTCTACAGACAAAAGAACAACATGGAGAGTTCCACCACCTCATACAAAGGCTGAAGCTGTACTATGAGTGATTCCGAAGATATTTTCGTATGTAAGTGGGGGATTTGAGCCTCTGCTTCTGCTTGTTGCCCCTCTTATTAAAAAGAAGCAACAAACTACAGGGAGCCCACCAACCTTCTTCTCTTTCTGATAAATGTGTCAAGGAGATGTCGAGTTTTTTGACATCAGCTCCTACATAAAAAAGCATTAATGTACATGTGTTTGTTTGTAAATCTTGATGTGCCTTTTTTCGGGTTCATGTTAATAGGTCTTATTTTTTTGTTTAATAACTTTGAGTAACAAGCAACATAATGTTGACTGAGGTGTTGTTTATCTGTTTATAATTTATTATTATTTATACTGGAGCTCATCCTCTTGTTTTCTATTGGCCAAAATGAAACACGACCGAAAGCTAATTTAATTTTTGCATTCATATGTTGAATCCTATTCAAGTGAGTTGGCTTTTCCAGCTGCCATGTTTTACTTGCGTTTGGTGTGACTGCGGCATTTACCGTGTTAATACTAACTGTCTACCCAACTATACTTTCTCCACCCCTCCAAATCCAATAGATATATCCAATACCAAAGAAAATATTGAGGTGATAGTTTGGTGTGACTGCAGCTTTAGAGTGCCCAAAAAATATGCTTTCGGTTCTGATGTAGCTATTGATATTTCATTATTTTCTTTTTGCAGAATAGTGAGTCTTGCTTTTGTCATTTTGAAATTTTTTGCTATTTGCATAAGAGAGAGGTTAGTTGGCTTTATCGAGCATCACATTTTATCTCCATATCGTGTATTAGTAGTTGGAATGGTTTCTGCAGGTCAAGCAGAATCAACTGGCAGCAACACCAAAGATTCATCAACAGATTTTCTCTAATAACGTTTACTTTATGTGTTGTACTTCAAAGATGATGATTTTTTTTTAGAAAAACATTTTAATGCATCCTGCTTTTCACCCGGTTTAACAACCGACAGTCTGTCGCTGCATCTTTCCAACTCCACTAGTCGCACAGCATTGCCAATTGTCTGGGTGAGCTTGGACAAAAATGTTAGGCACTTGAACACACAACACTGCTTTATTAAACCTTGCTTTTTACTGCTGCTCCACTGGGGAGCCTGGTTTATGAAAATCAAACAGGGAAGGGTTTGTTTTTATTTATTTGTTTTTTATGAAGTTGGCATGTCTGTAAGGGAGCTTTTGGTGCTGGCTATAACAGTCTGGGCTTAATATATATGATGCATGATACATTTGATGCATCATGATACACTTGACTTGTGCTTGATGCTTTTTGGAAGAAACACAAGGACCTATTATTTTGAGCTTTATAACTCATTTAGTTTTGATTTTTTCCCTCTCCTATAGAGATTGATATTGAGCGTTGTGTCAGGGAATCCATCAACCTGTTCTGCTGGACCCCCAAGAGTGCTACATACCGCCAGCACGCCCAGCCGCCCAAACCTGCAGGTGACAGCAGCAGCAGCTTCGGCAAAAACCCTGCCTACTACTCAGCAGAATACCAGGACCTACCCAACACGGACCTGGTGAGTATGCTGGTTGTTTTCCACTCAACCAGAAACCAAGGACTTCTAGGCAGCTTTCCCAAAAAAAAAAACAAAAAAAAACGTTTATTATAATAGTCTTTACTTCAATAAAAAAAAAAATACTTCCCAAATATTCTCAGTGACTTTAAGCTGTATAAATGCATGCAATGTGTGGAAAAACATTTTGTAAAGTCGTTTGTGTTTTGAACGCCTTTGCCGAGCGGATGAATCTGATGATTGTGAGCGCGTTGTAAGAGTATTCAAAGAGAACTCAGTCAAAACTTGGTGAAGGACGTTCCTTGCAAGTAGGTAAGTGAATGATTTATGATTGTCATCATATCTTCACCAGTATAACAATAATTTTGCATTTGAGACCTAAACATCAAGCTGGGCCTTCTTTTTGTGCTTGTGTGTGCGACGTTAATGCATATAGATGTATGACGTGGTCTGAAAAACTCTTGAAATCTGACCTGACTTTTAAATTATTATTTCAGTCTTACACGTAGCAGCACTGCACTACTTTTCTTCTGACTCAATAATATTATTAATATAAATTTTAACAAAAAATCTTACATTTAAGCTTCAAATAGACTATTGAGAGATTTGTCATGTGTGAGGCTATTGTACATTTAAGAAAACATTGAAGAACATATTTAACTCTGAGATTAAAATTAGCACCCGTTCTTAGAATTGTTCTTAAAGTTTTTAATGTAGTATATAAACATTGCATATTACAGTTTCAAAACATGACATTCTCTCCCTGGTCCATACAGTCCATTTCTGAAAACTATGCTGTGAAACAGCCTTGTTTTTGTGATGTCATATCTACATATATCCACTTATTTACTCCCCAGAAATTGGACTCCCCCCATTCACACTAAAGTTGTAGAGAGTGTTTCAGGCTGGACTGCTTATTAAGTTAAGCTTAGTACAGATCAGCCAATCAGAGCAGAGCTCATTTCAACATATATCAGTCTTAAAAGCACAGTATGAAAAACAGCCTGTTTAATTCTAAGAGGTTAAGAGAGGTTGGAAAATAGTTATGTAAATAAAGGTAATTATGACATAAAACCATCAATGACCACGGGGGGGGGAAGTAAAATGTAGGATATAGGCCCTTAAGAAAATTCTAACGATTATTTTCTGAAGAATAGCAGTTTATTTGACCTCTTTTCTAAAGCCAGGCATTAAGATAAAAGCGCATCTAAGAAGATTTTGCTTCTTACGACACTTTTGTAAGCCCAGCTCCTAAGGAGAGACCCTTCTCGAGGAGCCAGACCTTGCCACCGAAAGGCATGCAGAAATGACTGTTATATAATACCACCATCACTTGGCCCACCTTTTTGGCTCCAGTTCCACACTGAGAGAGTGAGGCTTATTAAAGAGTTTACTCTTGAGCTTATTATGGACCTTGTTAAGAGCTTTAATAAGAAGCTTATTGAGCCTATTACCCTCAGTCAATAAAGGGCTGGTCTTTTAGACACAAATTAAGACTAGTGCTAAACTAATTTGCTATCGAACTCAATCAAGTTCACTAGTGAAAATCTAATTTAGCCCATGACTAGACTTTATCTGTGTCAGGAGAACCGTTCCTAGGAGATCTACATGAAGTTTGCCATTAAAAAGTAGTAAATGGTGAACAATGCCACTTAATATCTCCACAGGGATATGAACTGAGAAAAATAGAACAGAAACAGACAAATAATAGACAAAGCAAATTTAGTCAGCACAAGGAATGAGTGTAACATTTTTGCGATAGTGTGGAGAAAAAAAAAGACAAAAGAACAGTGTGTAAATATGGTCTTCCACTGCCGTGGTCAGGTCTGGCAAACAGGTCAGGTACAAATACCTGTAGTTCCTGTTTTTAATTTAACCTTCAGTTCAGTTTATTAATCTCTCTGCAGAATCTTTACGTTGTTCAAAGTTTTTCTTAAGACATTACTTGGGAAATACAAGGCTGGAGGCTACGGTTACACTTGTAGGTTCAAAAATCACATTGTGAACATTTGCAATATTAATGTTTCAGCACTGTTCAAAGAAACAATGTTTCATTTTTATAGAGCAGGCTAAGGTTGGATTTGGATTTCATCATGTAACTTTTCTCAGAACGACCAGCAGACCAGCGAATCACTAATGTATTATATTTATATCCATTTCGTTTGAATCCTCTGATTTGCACAACCTTGATGTGGTTCAAAGGTAATTACTGACCAAATGTGACCCTTGCGGAACACCATCCGGTTCTTTCTAATGAAATCTTATGCCAAGTGTACCCGTTAATGAGGTGTGACTTCTGAGAGCTACATGGGGGTCAGCGTGGTCAAAACGGGCCATATTTCACACCAATAAATCTCCCCTCAAAATTTGTTGGACGAGTAAAAGAGACGGAGGCCATATTGCGGGTTCAATTCTCAGTTCACACCAGCACAGCCATAACCAGAGTGTTATTACACACTAAAATCAGGGCCTTTTCCAGTGCTGGTGATCTTCGCAGGCTCTTTAGCTGGAGGTGTTATATATTTTCAGTACTGTTGGACCTCAATGTGCTAGACTGCTGCCATTAATCTGCTAGTGAAGTCTTAATTTATGGTGGAGTTGGAGTAGGCATCCCAGATGGAAGCAGGGCTCAGAGGCTTGTTAACATTCACACAGGGGGCTCGGCCTTCCTCATAAACATGTCCAGCCTCTCGGCGCCTACCCAACTTGCATCAAGCCTGTCTGTCAAACTCTATCCAGAGTGTATTCAGACTCTACCCAGTCTCTACATAAGCTGTAGAAACCAAAACTGTACTCAAACCTTAATCAAGCTCTGCCCAAACCCTAAAACTTTTATCAAACTCTGCTCAAACTCTATAATGCTTTGCCCAAACCCTACACAATAATTTAACTCTAATAAAACACTATAAAAGCCTTACTCAATCCCTTATCAAACCTTACACAGACGCTACTCATACCCTGCTCAGACTCTGCTGAAACTGCCTAAACTCTACAAACCTCCACCAAAATCATACTCAAATTCCATTCAGCCTCTGCTCAAACACTACCAAGTTCTGCCCAACTACACTCAAACCCTACAGAAATCCTACTCAGAATCTGAGAAACCAAAACACTATGGCTGCCTTTAGGGGTGCCATATTGAAATCAATTGGAATCTACTAAAAACTAATCAAAGTCTATTAAACTGTAGCCAAACTCTGCCCAAACCCTAATCAAACTCTACTAAACTGTATCAAAACCCAACAACATTTCCCAGAACTGTACACAAACTCTACTCAAACCTTACGACTAGCCTCATTTCTTATTTTCACCTCTACCCCTTGTTTTGAGTGTCACCTTGTGACTTGTAACTGACTTACAAGGGGTAGTGGCTGAAATCTCCCCCTACGAAATGGGACCCTGAAATAAAAAAGAACATTACTTCATTAACAAGCTACTGGTGGTGCTCTGTAGGTGACCCTGCCAGTCTGCAGTGAAAGCAGAGGAGCAGTAAAGTTCTGCAACCTCACTGCTGGGCTTTAGTTAAATTTAGGGCATTAATGCCTTTTAAGAGGGGGGAATTATTTATTATCGCCCACCCCTAATTCTTCAGTGATATGAAACTAAGGTCAGGTATTTGTTAGCTTCTTGATCGAATTTCTCCGTTCCACCTTAAATGGACACCTGAGGCGCCCGAATGTAACTGCTGCACCATTTAAGGTGGACCGGGAAATTTAGCTAGCTAGCTACCGAGACATTGGAGTACTGTTAGCTTATTATGAAGAAAAGGACCATAATACATTGAAACGACATTAAACTAAGATAATACAATGGTTATCGTAATTTTTAATGGAGAAAATTCTCACATTTGTGGGTCATTTCTTTGGTCGCTCAAGCAGCCATCTTGCTGTTTTTTCTTCTTTTTTTTTCCTCAGAGCCTCTGAAAAACCTCTGTTTGGAGGTCCATGTAGCCCTAACACTTCGCCCTACCCCTCTGTCTCAACAAAAATCGGGATAGCCTACCCCTAGACATGAACACGCAAAACTGAGGGCTAAGGGGTAAGTGGTAGGGGCAAGGGATGAAATGGGATTGGGCCTTAATCACACTCTATCCAAACTACCAAGCTTTGTCTAAACCTTATTAAATCCCTACTGAAACTATATCCAAACTCTAATTCTGTCCAAACCGTTTTCAGATTCACCCCAAACTCCAACCAACATTCCACTCAAACACTAAATTGCTACCCAAACTTTACTCACTACCTTTCCAAACTTTGCCCCAAACACTTGTCAAACTCTACCAAACTCACTTTGTAGTTCTACAATTACAGACTGTAGTCCATCTGTTTCTCTGCATACTTTGTTAGCCCCCTTTTACCCTGTTCTTCAGTGGTCAGACCCCCATTGACCCTCACAGAGCAGGTACTATTTGGGTGGTGGATCATTCTCAGCACTGCAGTAACACTGTGGTGGTGGTGTGTTAGTTTGTGGTGTGTTAGAGTGTGTTGTGCTGGTACAAGTGGATCAGACACAGCAGTGCTGCTGGAGTTTTTAAACGACTGTCACTGTCCACTCTATTAGATGTACCTGTGTTGTTGGTCCACCCTGTAGATGTAAAACCAGAGATGATAGCTCATCTCTTACTGTACAGTATGAGCTAATCATCCTCTAGTCCTTCATTGGTGGTCACAGGACGCTGCCCACAGGATGCTGTTGATTGGATATTTTTGGTTAATGGACTATTCTCAGTCCAGCAGTGACACTGAGGTGTTTAAAAAGTCCAGCAGCACTGCTGTGTCTGATCCACTCAGACCAGCGCAACACACACTAACACACCACCACCATATCAGTGTCACTGCAGTGCTGAGAATGATCCACCACCCAAATAGTACCTGCTCTGTGATGGTCCATGGGGGTCCTGACCACTGAAGGGTAGAAGGGGGCTAACAAAGTATGCAGAGAAACAGATGGACTGCAGTCTGTAATTGTAGAACTACAGAGTGTACCTATATAGTAAGTGGAGC